CAGATTCAGCTTGGAATGCAAAACGGAAAACTTCCAAATTCCGCATTGTCAGCTTCTTCGCAGTACAATGCGTATGCTGGACCTGAAAATGCCCGGCTTCACTTCTGTGCGGAGAGTCGCCGCTACGGGGCCTGGATAGCACAGAGAAATGACCACAATCAATATTACCAGGTTGACTTTGGAGTCGAGACACAAGTCACACGTATCGAAACCCAAGGTCGCCAAGATAAGTTACAATATGTAAAGGAATACACGCTTAGATACAGCACTGATGGATCTTACTTTAAACAGTACCAACCATCTGGATTTACCAAGGTTAGGTGTTTTTTAAAGTTGTCGCCAAACATGTTTTGCTTTTCGTAATTTCGGCAAAGTGGGATATATTGTTCCTTTCCGTCACGTTGGCGCTCCATTTCGGAGTTTCTTCTTGGAGTGTATACAGAACTACTACTGCTTGCAATATATTATTTAGCCTGTTTAAAGTTGCTTTCTATTTTTTATTTGTTAAGACATTTAAGGCAAACAGTGACCGATACACAGTGGTAGGCCATGACTTAGAAAAGCCAATTAGGGCAAGGTATTTGAGAATTGTCCCAGAAGACTGGTACAGGTACATTGCGTTTAGGGCTGAGTTTTACGGATGCAAGACAAGTAAGTTGATCTTTTTGTAATTTGTTTTTCTCAGCCCTTTTATTAAAAAATAGATTCGCAATACTTACACGTGCTGATAGAAAATTTGGAGAGAGTCATCTGTTAAGCTGGCTAGAAATATGATCTGAGAATATGAGCAAGATGCTAGCCAGTCAATGGACATGTTGCTCGATAAAAATCTCCAGGTTCTCTCGACAGGTGCTCTAACACTCTGAGTTATGCCAGACAACATAACACGGCTGTAATTATGACAGCTTTCTACTACTTCTTACACAATTTGGCTAGGATCACTTTGGAACCCAAAAAAAAGGAAAAAGAACGACAAAAAAACGCAAAAAAACGACTAAATTTACTGGACACTGCATTTACTTTGTAGATGACGGTGGTTATTCAGCGTGGGGAGGTTGGTCTCAGTGTTCTGTAACTTGTGGAAATGGGCGTCAGAGCCGCAGTCGTTCCTGCACTAATCCTGCCCCAAGCCCCGGTGGAAAAGACTGCTCACAACTTGGACCTGACAAGGAGAACAAAACTTGCAATGATGGAGGCTGCCCAGGTAACAATTATAACAATGATGAGAAGAATAATAAAATAAACAGGACTGACAGTTTCTTTGTCTGCAATCAAGAATCCCTGATTTGTTCCATTCTGCGCGTTCTTATTATGTTTGAGTCTGGCGTGTATCTCTGGTTTTGTGGGATGATTGGCTGAGCTGAAGTTTATGGTACTCCATCGTCGGTTGCTTTTCTGTTCGTAGTTTAGCAGTGCCTCCAAAATTGTAAAGGTATCTCGCCCAAGAGCGGAATCATCAGAAAAAATGGCCAATTCCCTCAGTGAGACACACCTACAGGGAATCATGCTTGCCTGCATAAAAAGAATTGGCTCAGACAAATGCTCAGAGATTGACTTGACTCTTGTTGAATGAATTGGCTCAAACAATGGTCAGAGATTGAAACCAGGACTTCCTGATTCACATGCAACGGCTTAATTCAGTGATGATTGTCTCACTTTCAAAATTCAAACTAACTTTTAGCAAAACGTCGCTGGGTAATTCTCCAAATTGCGAATTCAGGGAAGGTCAGTATCATAAATACTTGAGCTTTAAGGTGGAGAAGGAAGAAACGGTCGTGCTTCATGGATAACGTTAAGAACTCTTTGTTTCATGTACAGTCGATGGCGGTTACTCTGCATGGGGACCTTATGGCAAGTGTTCAAAAACGTGTGGAGGAGGAAAGCAAACTCGTGAGCGAACCTGCACTAATCCACCTCCAGCAAATGGTGGAAAAGACTGCACTAGCCTTGGATCGAGCATTTCAAGCAGAGAATGCGGAAACCAAGAGTGCCCTAGTAAGTGTGTTTTCCAACCTTGGGTTACAGCTGTTACCACTCTGAGAGCGCTTTCCATTCAACCAAAAATTCCGAAACTTCAAAACGAGGACAAACGGTATTGAAATTTTCTGGGATCTTTCCAGAAAATTCAGAAATCGTTGAATTTCCCAAATTCGAACCATTCGAAAGGAAATTCCGGAGATTCCGTAGGAAATTTCGGTATACCTGGCAAGGTTGTCCTCTTTACCGGAAATTGTGAAAAATGCTGTTCCATTATTATTATTCGTCACTGGAAATTTCCAGAAATTGAATCCAGAATTTTTCATCGAACGGAAAGCGCCCTTAATTACATAAATGACAAAAGAAGGAGTAAAAGCAATTTTCAAATATGTAAGCAAACATCCGGGCTGAAAGTAGATTCTTCGATAAGAGAAAACAACTTTCGGAATTGCTCTTTACTACGACAGCGTTCTTCGCGTCCTCTCTGTCTGTAGCGTACTGATAGAGAAATTTGAAAACGCAGCTTAAGCTAGCTTTATTTCTACGGCTAGGCCTACCGTCCACACTAATCCAGCACGAAAACGAAACTTTTCGAAAACGTGCCTCAAACCGGGGGAATATGAAAACGCCGGCTTTTCGTTTTCGTGTAGACGGAAAACATTTTGAAAACGGAACTTTTAATTTCTAAAACGATGGGTTGACGATGAGAATGTGATTTCCCTGACCGAGTTTTCCTCAAACACAAATCCAAAATAACCGATGATTGCTGCGTTTTCAAATTCCACCGAGCATAGTGTGAACGGAAAACATTTGATACGTTTTCAGAGTGAAACTTCCGTTTTGGGAAATTCATCTGGCGTAGTGTGGACAGAGCCTAACTTCCGCCGATCGTGTCATATACATATGGTCTCTTTGACATCGTCTGGCTGTACCAGACGCAGTCTAATCGCATTTTTCAACTCGAATTACAACCATCATTATTGCTAGTCAGCTTCAGGTTTTTCATTTAAACCTAAATAGTCGAATTGCCAACTTAAGTGTCTTTTTTCTTTTCACGGTGAGACGAAACAACAAAGACAACCGGAACAATAATAACAACAGAGTACAAATGAAAACAAACAAAAACAAACTGACGAAAACAAAAAAACGCCACAAAATATAAACCAGTTATATTTAGCATTTATTTAATTTTCTGTGTATCAATCAATTCATTTGATAATTATTTAACCAAACGATTGTATGCTATATTTCTTTAGTTGATGGTGGATATAGCAACTGGAATAAATGGAGCGAGTGCTCAGTTTCTTGCGGTGGAGGACAGCGGGCTCGCAGCAGGACATGCGATAGCCCGAAACCACAGCATGGCGGAAAAGGTTGCTCAACTATCGGACCCTCAATTCAGACAGAGAAATGCAGTACCAGTGAATGTCCCAGTAAGCGTCTACTTAATTTTGTGCCAATGTAGAATAAATAGTTTCAAGTCAGATCGTGTGTCGAGATCGGATTGCAGTCATCTAATTTTGTCATTGGAGATGCATGTAAAAAAAGTGCCTGTTTACTAGCAGATACACGCTTTGTCTTAGTGCTGTGGAATTGTTTAGGTCAAACATTCTGGTCCATTTTATCCCTGTAATCCTAATTTGGCTATTTCAGTCAAGTGGTTATATCGTGTTCATTTCTCCCGAATTTTACCAAAACTGGACAAAGACAAGCTCAGTTCGCAAGGTTTTTGATCTCAAAGTTTTTGTTATCAATGTAGGAATCATAAGAACTTATATCTCGCAGGATTATTACCTTTGTAATTGAAATGTGCATAATTGTTGGACATTTATGTTTCGAAATTTAATTGCTGTGGCTTTTTTAAAAGCCACAGCAATCGAAATCAAATTGGTCTTCAAGCTATTAAAATAGTTTGAAGACCAATTTGATTTCGATTATGACAAGACCAGGGTTGTTCGTACATGTATGATTTGGAAACACAACTGATATGGAAGAACTCAAAGCAAAGGAAAGAAACCTAAACATATTGACATCATGATTGCTATAATCATGACCAATCCATAGGGCAAAACATCGTATCTTTCAGTCTTTTCTACGACATTCCAGATGATAAACAAAATTGTTTAATCTGACGCGCATATGTCCACTCTAAAGTAAGATTCTTTTTTCCTTCTAGCTCCTTATCTTGAAAGCAGTCAAGTTGATGGGTTTGCACTTCGCCGCGTTGACAGGTCATGATTCAAAACAATTTATAAGATGTTTTCTCTTATCACAGGGGATGGTGGTTATTCTGCATGGGGACCATACAGCAAGTGTTCAAAGTCATGTGGAGGTGGAAAGCAAAGTCGCGAGCGAACTTGCACCAATCCACCACCAAGTGGCGGAGGAAAGGATTGTAAGGAGCTGGGACCAAATACCTCGAGCAGAGAATGCAATAATAAGAAGTGTGCAGGTAAGACGTGCTATTAATGTTGTTTTCAGTATTACAACTCAATAACTGACGTTCTGATTAAGACCCTTTCTGACCTTTTCGGATAGGTTCTGTTTCTAAAAGCTAACTGAAACACTTCAGTTTTGACAACCTGTAATCTTAAAAAGTCGACGGCAAAAAAAGTTTCACTTAGCACAAGAACCGGGCTCGCCTCAAATCAAGTTTATTTTTATGATATTTCTTAATTTTTTATTCAGTTGATGGAGGTTACACTGATTGGGAGAAGTGGACAGACTGTTCCGTCACATGTGGAGGAGGACGAAAAGCGCGTCATCGGCAATGCACCAATCCTGTACCGCAACATGGCGGGAAAGATTGTTCAGATCTCGGACTACCGACTGAGACAAAAAGCTGCAATGAAAACGGTTGTCCAGGTTAACATTATATTTGTTGCAGATTTATTGTAGAAGCAAGTTAATCTATCGTTTTGTATCTGTGCCAAAGCCTAAGCTGTACACATGACTGCGATGCTCTAGCATTCCACTCACATGCACAGTCAAACGTAACGATATTTCGTATGTTTAGTTTTATTACATGCCATAGAAAAAGCAGCCAAGTCGTGTTATACTCTAAGATTTCATACCCAATCTTCCCATCATGCCCTGCATTGATTTTGTTGGGCACTGTATTTTCTATAGCAGGGTATAAAATATTCATGCTATATAGTATTAACCAAGCGCGAGGGCCGCGCTGGGAAAATATCGGCCCGAGATCTTGACAGTACGTACAAAAGAATAGAGGGCCGATATTCTCCCAGTACGGTCCCGAGCTAACTTGGCTAATAAGAGGAATATTTCGTGACTGAAAGTGTTGAGGAAAAAAAAATACCACTATCACGGACTGGAAAAAAAAATATTGCAAAAGTCAAACGCGCAATTCGATTTTGATTGGGAGCCGACCGAGGCGTGTGGTCACGTCTGATGTTAAACGAAACAGAAGGAAAAGAGGAGTTGGAAGAGAAAGAAAAAGAATAATTTATGCGACAGCAAGTTCTTTCAGAAACGCGAGCCATAAAACTACCAGAAAATCTTCAAGGGTTATCGTGCGGGATCATTCGGGACAGTGCTTATCTCAACACTATTTGACCGGCAATGGAACAGAATAATTGCCGAGTGATTTTAGTTATTGAATTGGTCCCTGAACTAACTTAGTCGTGTAATGTCATGGCTTATAATCCATCAAATGTTTTCGCTCGCGCGCGATCGGTCTAAACATGTTACGTGACCGATTATTCCCCAGCTAAAACGACGAATATCCGAGGATATTCCCAAATTTTCAAAACTGCACGTGAAGGTTAATACATGTATTTGAAGGATAACAAACACAATAGCCTCCATATGGCGCGAAAATATGCTCAGATATTTGTCCTTGGACATAATCTGTTCCTCAAAGCTCATAGTTTTCGTCGAGTTACACTCTCGGAAAACTGTTCGCTTATCGGAACAGATAATGTCCGCAGACAAATATCCTAGCATACTTTCCTGCCCAATGGAGGCTATTGCTTATTTATCCACTTGTCAGTTGTGCTTTCTTGGTCTAAAAATATACCCCCTCAGTTAAGAAATTACCATGGTATACCACTCGAAAACATTACATAAGTGGTATGTATATCTTTGTCTTCTACAAGTATTACGAATTAGCTCAACACTTGGCTCTCTACTCGTTAAAAATATATGATTTATTGTTCTCAGTGTTCGTCTTGCTTAGTTTATTGTAGCACGTGGTCTGTGTCGTTGCTAGTCTTAGTTACCAATTTAGCAATCAGACTACTCGCCCTCGTTTTCTATGAGCAAACAGTCAACGAGGCGTATTCGAGTTAATTATCACTCACAGAAAACGAGGGCGAGTAGTCTAATTGTAAAAGCAGTGCGCGTGCGGAAAACGATGTGAGAGCAGATTAGATTCGCTGATTTACAATAGAACACAACAGAGTGACTAATAATGACACGTTAGATGATAGAAAAATACTGGACACTGAACTTCAACTGGAGACGAACATGAGGATATACTGTAAATGGTATGAGCCCGGGAGTATCAGTAGTTCGTATAGTGTGATCGTCTGGGTGAGGGAAGCTCTGAAGAGAACTGTTGTTGGTGACTGACATTTCGACAACCTGAGCGAAAGTGAATAGTGTTTGTCAGTCGATGATGTTATGTCTGGTCCGTTGAAAGTAATTGGTCAGTTTAGCTATGATGTTATTGGCTGTAAGACTCGTCTAAAGTTTGACAGCAGTCATTGGTCGGTTCTAGTAAGCTTCCATCCGTCTATTGTTAATCAAATGAGGTCGGCCTGTTAGAGGTCCGTTTGTCGGTTTTGTTTGTGGCGTGAATAAGTTGTTTGTACGGTGCCGGTAGTTGTTGATATCTGTTAGGAGGCGTTTGTTCTAAGTTAGTGTACCAGCTGAATAATTTCTCAAAAATAAACCCGGCAGTGCTCGTAACATTCCTCAAAGTGTTACTTCGATATCATTTACAGTGCATGGAGGTTACGGCAAGTGGGGATCTTGGGGCGACTGTTCTATTACATGTGGAAAGACGAAGGGCAAGAGGACACGCGATAGATTGTGCAATAACCCAGCGCCTCAGAATGGCGGTAAAACCTGTTCAGAACTCGGACCAGACAGCCAGACAATGACGTGTACACCACCGATGAAGAAATGTCCAGGTAATTATAAAGAAATAAACATTCACGCTTTTCATTACACATTTAGGTGGGGGTAGATTGGGTAGATTGGATGGTTAGCCACCCCCTTTTTGGAAAAGCAAAACATCAAAAAAGATTGAAAAAAGGTTTGAATATTATGACAGAAAGAAAGGGAAACTCTCTTGACAGGTATCTCATTGTAATTTCTACAACGTATCATTGCTAGTATTTCCTGGTAAAACGGTTTTCAATTAGGTTCCAATTCTTAAGTTTGTGTTTTAAGATTTGCCACAGAAACAAAAATAGAATTGCAATACAATGATTGAAAAATTTAAAAAATTTAATATGCAAGATTACAATGAAGATACAAAACTACAATTTATATATTAAAGAAAAAATTGCGAGGGAACCTAATAAAAACCGTGGGGTTTGTAAGCTTAGGTTCTCTCTCACGAAACACCAGATGACTAATTTAGATAAAGTAATTTAATGGCAAGCCTTATTTAATGACAGAGTTAATAGTTACCGACAATATAAGTTTAAAGTTTTTTCCTCAAAGATGCCAGTTATGAAGAGCCAGAAATTTCAGGTGAAAGAGAATTAAAGAATTTAGGACCTCGATAAAAATACGGAGAAATGAGGATATTTGTTCAACATAATAGTAGACGAAAGGAATTTGCATGCCCTGTATTGAACAATTATGGATTTGGTTGTTTATTGTGAATATGTTATCACATTTACGAGGGAGAATAGCGTTTTCAAACAAAGACATAAACTGACCTAGCTGCATGAAATGAATGTCTTGAAATTTAAGCAAGTTGAGCTCCTTAAAAATATGTCCTGTATGAGCATTATAATAGGACTTGTCCACCATCCTAATCACACGTTTTTACAAAATTACAATTCTTTGAAGGTTAGTTTTATAAGTTGATCTTCAGACTAGATTTCAATAATTAAGGTATGGAAGTACCATTGAGTTATTTAGCATGCGAAGAGCAGGTGTTGAAAGATAAAATCTAAAGATGAGATCTAAAATTATGACCTGTGCAATGGTTCTCTCATTAAGTTAAAAACATGTCCTATTAATTCTGCTACCCCAAGGTATCCGCATGCATTAATGTATTCGCTCCTGCATTAATTACTAACTTCCAGATACAATATACTTTAGTCCATCCACTGCTAGGATAGATATAGGTGCATTCTGATGATAAAGTTGTCTTAGTTATAACGTATTTTTAATTGTCAGGTGGTTTCTTATCTTTGCCTTTGTCCAGCACTGCATCTCGTTTACCTCTTTTCGCTATTCTCATCAGTTTTTGCGGCCTGGTTTGTATGATAGTATGCTGTGAAATATAGCTTGTGACTGGAATGGACAAAGTCATATCGGATACTTGTTTCTTGCGCCAATGTGTTGAAAAAGCGTCTCAAACAGATTTTACTATGTTAAAAAAGTAAGGCTCTGATCTGTGGCTTTATGACACTTGCTACTAGCAACCCGGAAGCTTTTCTCTGCGTTTCGCTTCACCTAAGTCACCTGAGGACATTATAACAAACATACTGACATTCACAAATCTCAACACTTCAACATAGTGGTAAGAAACTCTCGCATCAACCTGCAAATTGGCCATTCTAATAAGTATTGTGATTTTTAGCTTGAATTTAAGTTACACTAAGTATAATGTAATGCGAAATTAAACTTATATCACCCGCTCAAGATAAAGATTTGTTTCGTCTCCAGTGGACGGCCAGTGGGGAAAATGGGGTGAATGGAGCAACTGCCCGGTCAGTTGTGGAGGAGGGGAACAAATAAGGGTACGAAGCTGCAACAATCCTAAACCCAGTGGTGGTGGCAAAGATTGTGATGGAGAAGAAGAGGCGAAGAGAAAATGCGCGACTTTCGAGTGTGGACGTAAGTTTCTCTTTTTCTTTTTGCCTTTCGTCAGAATTTGTAACAACTTCATTTCAGCTGTTAAAGACTTTTAATTATGATGTTCCAAGCTACAAGGTTCGAATTACATTCTATTTTCTACACCATTTTAAATCGTATAGGAAGACGAGGTAGCTGTATGCCGTTTCAAAGTAAATATGTAATTGTCCTAATATACACCGTAGCATTCGCAAATAACGAGCACCATTCCATCAGAAACGATGGGCAAATCAGTCTTATTATAAGACTGACAAAATTGCTTTTAAAGTGCACTCGCCTGAAGGCGCGTTCAGTTTTGAGATAATTTCCAAATATCATTCGTAGTGTAAATCTCTAATTGCACTCGCATTCATACGATTACCTTTAGAAATAAATCTACTTCTTATTGTGAGTTTGGTCTACCTGCGTTGATAGTTCCCGTTCCTTCTTCATGGCGTACAAAGGCAAAATGCGGCCCTGTTGTTGAAAATAGTTGAAACCTGTAAGAAAAATAATCGGGTTATTAAATTTTCCTTATTGTTTTGTTTTGTTTTGTTTTGTTTTTTGTTTTTCTGTCAAAATTAAAGTTGATTGGAAAGCAGAGGGTTGCTACAAAAACAGTGTCCGTGCTCTAAGCGAGATCCTGAAAGTGAACGCCAGGACGATAAGTAGTCGGTTTGCTGCATGCATGTCAGAAGCTGACGAGAAAGGTATCACGTTGTTCGGTATGGATGACAAGAGATGCTGGATTGTTGAAGACGCAGACAGCTCATACGACAAATATGGAACTTCAGGATTGTGCAGAAAAACGAAGAAAGGCATAAACTACGGCCTATCAGAGCACGATACGATGCGTGTCTATATGAAAGACGTTGAAGGTAATAATACAAGGCAATTTTATGAGTATAGTAATAATACTATTAAACAATGTTGTTGTGTATAGTGGTCAATATACTTAGCTACACCTAGCTAGTTTACAAGCATGCCACTTTAAAAACTAAAAGAAACAAAGATGTGAACTAAACATAATAGGCTTGAAAATCCCAACTGGCGGGAGGCAGTGCGCCAGTAATGACACTGGACAGCAGTTATACGCCGAAACAAGGCCAGGCTGCGTAGTCATCCCCCAAAATATGGAGCTTATGAACAACAGGAACGCTGAATGTGCGGCCATTATCGTACTGTGCCTTTTTTTTTTTTTAAGTTTCGGTTCTCGTATTCCTCGCTTTTGGTGTTCCCGATACACTCCTTTTTACCTAACGGCATCTAGCAACAAAGTCAGTACCCGATCTGGCCAATAAATTCCTGTACTGGAGGAAGCGTCAGTCGTCCTTGCCGCCATTTTGATCTGTGGACATGCAGTGCCCACTGGGAGGTTGAGGACCACCAATGTTCTCCCATATTTGCCACATTTTATGTAACAAGTCGTCTTCACGAGCAATTTTTCGTATGTGACAGCTTTTATTTGTCCCATAAAAGTTTACCCCTCAACTTTTCAGCAAATATATTAGTCACATAAAAATTGGCCAATTTTCCCCATCTACACGAGTAAATAAAAATTGTCACAAAAATTGCTCGTGTAGACGAAGCTTTAAAAACATGAAATTGTATTGTATCTACAAATTGTATTGTATCTACAAATTGTCAACACAGGCATTCCTTTCAAAATCTCAGCCTCGGGTTTATTCCTAAAATATTCCTAAATTTCGCGAATTGCAGCTTCGACATTCTTATAAAATATATTCTTATTTAAAACTACGTACAAAGCAGACAAAGTTTGTTTGTCTGGGCCACTGATACTCGCGCTATATACGGGCCATTCAATTCCCGGAATATCAAAATTCTTGCACTCACGGCGCTGAGGCTCAGGATATTCAAACAAAGAGACAGGTTTTACTTCTTACGTTTCATGCGCTTTAGCCTTGGCGTCTTTTAACAGTTTTTATGATTTATTTATCGCTGGCAAGTGCGTGACCAGCTTTCTCCAGCAAGCTTTTTCCGCGGCGGTTCACGTCACCACGTCACTTCGCACGGCTGACAGGTGTTAGCTGGCGATGTTGTTTATTCGGCGAGTGTAGAATTTTTTAGGCTGAAATGTCAGTCATCTCCCAATCTCAGCCTTGTAGGCTGAGGGCAGTGGATTACAGACAATTTAGGCTCAATTTTGTAAGCGGGGCTCTATAAATGTACTTACATATAAGTATCTTTCGGCAGGTCTGGTCAATGTTTCATACAACCTATAAAGCTCCTCCTTATACATGCAGCTAGCTATACGGATTCTAAGTCCCTTGAACAAATTGATTTTCGAGTTTTGATACACGTGGTCCAAACTCTGTTGACTCTCAGCTAGCCCAGATTACCACTCTCGGATATATCAGGAAACGGGAAGTTGTTACCGATTTACCCTATGGTAAAAAGCATACTGTAAGCTTTATTAACTCAGCGCACAATTTTCTCTACAGGTATATGGCAAGATAAGGGCTGCTACGTAAACAAAGCAGCATCGCTAGCTCTACCCGACCCCTTCGATACCAGCGTTGATACGTTACAAGGGAACGAAAACATTTTTGAGCACTGCAGTGAAAAAGCTAAGTCCTTCGGCTACACTGTATTTGGCGTTGACGACAAGAAATGCTGGGCAGGCGATGACGCCGAAAACACGTATAACAAGTACGGCAAGTCCTCAAAATGCACTGTCGGCAAGACTGGTTATGGTTCCGGCAAGGGGATCAACGGAGACATGTTTGTTTACCGTTATAAATGAATGACCGAGGCAAGTCGTCAGTGATCTCGGCAAAATTAATTTTAATTTTTCATATAAGGGACAGTTAGTAAGAAAGTCGATCACAAGGGCGACGTTCTCCCTCTGAGCACCCTCATAAGCGACAAGCTGCAGTCAAGTAGACCATAGTGAATCCCCTTTGAATTGTAATTTATCATTACTGCATACCCATCACCACATCGTGGTAGCAGTCCGCGACAACTTTGGAAGCTAAGGCATGTAGCGAGAAACGGGGGTAGCACCGTTAACCGGCGCTAGGAAAGGAGGGTGGGGGGACAAAAGATCCCTGTACTGGAATTCCGGCAAAATGACGGCGATCGAGGTAAAACCCCGGTGTTTTAACGAAGAGACCGCAAATTATCATGACTGCCCTGGGGCATAAAAGCATAGAGGTGTTGGAGGGATTCACTCGCTAACTCTGTATGCAGTGAGAATGGTCACACAAACTAATGCATGAGAGCTCACAGAAGAAGCCCCAATTCACGTTAGCAATTCCCAGAATATCGCAGTTCCTTTGTCTTTCTTATTCGCATTAGGTTGGGTTTCTTTGCGAAATTCTTTTAAACAAGTTAAAAGTTCTAAAATCGGAATAAACCCACTTCTAAAACAGAACGTATGGTTCTCTTTTTGCAGATGATGGATCACTGAGATGCCTGAATGGAACCCAAACGGTCTAAATAGCGGGATTTTATTTGGGAGAGAAATATATTAGCTGGGTATATGGACGGGGAAATATTTTAGAGTCAGCCAGTCAGTATTGTTTGATGGGTAAATAAACGAGCATTTAAAATCAGTTTTCAGTTCGCTTACTTTTGTCGATATTCTAACTCCTTATCCCCCTGACGTTTAAGCCTACTCTGTGGGTTGGGGACAGATGATTGATCGATGGATCGATAATCAACCGACCAACCAATCGATCGATCGTTCAATCAATCAATCAATCAATCAATCAATCAATCAATCAATCAATCAATCAATCAATCAATCAATCAAACAATCAATCAATCAGTCAGTCAGTCAGTCAATCAGTTAGTTAGTCAATCAATCTATCAATCAGTCAGTCATTCACACAATCAACTAATCTGTCGATTGATCACTTGATTGATCGATCAATAATTAATAAATTAATCAAATCGATGAATCAGACGGTCAATCTATCAAACAACCAGTCAATCAATCTACCGATCAGCCGGTCGGTTGGAAAGGGAACCAGGAAGTCTGTCTGTCTGTCTGTCTGTCGGTAACACGTGGCGACTTGAACAGCTGCAATGAGTGTTTTGTTATCTTATTTCGTTGTAACAGAAAATTGGATTGTGTACGTCATGAAAAATGGTGGGGAAAGTGATTAGCTATAGTCGGATTAATCAGAAATATTATAGTTTGGTCATGAAGTCTAAAAAAGATAAAGAGAACAAAAATTTGTCACAGCCGATCCTCTATTAAGTGACCAACCGTCAAGCGACCGCGCACTGTTGAGCGGCCGTCAAGGTATCGATATTGTTTTCAGTAAAACGCTGTAAATAAATAAAACCCCTATTAAACGACCCTCTTTTTGGAAAAGACGATGACAGATAAAATTTCCTCAACATAAAAGCACACCTATGAGTGTCATGTCCTTCCCGACCTTAAGTAGGTCTACATGCAAGTGATTATCAATTTAAGCAGAACTTGTTTTTCTGGGAACTCAAAAATTTCCCAGACACCTGAGCAGTATTGAAAATGCTGTTGTGTTTTCATATGAATGTCCTCTTATAGTCCGGCTGTTATCATCCAAAAATATGCTGAATCGTTCACTTTGATGATAAAAGAATGAAACTTTGCCAGATTACTACCATCCCTAAGACCAACATTTTGTGATATGGATCCAGCTAAAATTCGCTAATGTTGCTGAATACTGCGCATGCCTAAAATCGTCAACTGATAGAAACGAGCTTGAAAATAAAACCCTTTAAATGCCATTGCTAAAGCAACTTTGTACATTTAACCTTCTTATACTGATAAAGGGATCATAATCTTGGTTTTAAAGCTTAAACGGTGTCACGTGACCCTCTTACTGGAAACTGATATGGTAATGAGTGAGATCCCTGTAGCTACAGCTTCTAGCTAAAAGAATTAAGTGTTTTGGAGGCAAAATTGATCTTTACTCATTACTTTTGCTTCTGTTTGTTTTTGGAGCACAAAAATAATTGTAAAAACTAAACATTCTACTTTGGTAGATAAGAGTACATGTCTTAAAACAACGCTGCATGAAAACGAGGCTTATAGGAAACAAGGAAAAGAACAGTCAATGGGGCCAGATCTCTGGTCCAGTGAAACTGAATATTAATTTGACAAGAAAAATATTTCAACAAATACAATGTACTCTGAATGAAAATCTGATGCTCTGCTTTCATTAATAGAAGTGAGACATATAAGACACACAAACTAGTGTTAAAACCACCTATATTTTGCACTCTGTTTGCTTGATTTGGTTTTTCCTGATTGAGTAATCACTCCTGTATTGACCCTTTTTGACAAAGATTTATTGCTTACTTATCTGTTTTTACTGTTAAGCAGTGTAAGCGTCATTTATTTCTAAAGGGCAGTCCTAGTTGCAGTTGCCCCCACGGTTGCACAGACCTATGCATGCCAAATTCGGTATAACACACTTACAACGTCCTCTGCACACCGTTTTACACCAGCAGTGGATGAGTTCATAACATGAATCTTTCCCTTCTTGGTGAGTTGTCCAGTGAGGAACCCAGAGCCTGCGCATCTTCGCGCTGCCATCTCCACTGTGAAGGACATGGTAATACTGGTTCTTTTAGAAGGGTTTTCAGCCGGACAAATCCACCTTGAAACACTGCCCTCTTGGCAAGATTAAAGTATCAACCACCTTCAGGACCGTCCTCGCGCGGATCCCACAATATGGCACAATATGGCACAATGTGGCACAATGTGACACATTGTGGCACAATGTGGCACAATGTAGCGCAATGCGACACAATGTGGCACAATGTGCCACAATGTGGCACACTGTGGCACAATAGAGCGCAATGTGGCACAATATGGCACAATGTGGCGCAATGTGGCAAACTGAGGCACTTGTGGCACATAGTGGCACAATGTGGCACACTCTGGCACAATGTGGGGCGTTGTGGCACAATATGGCACAATGTGGCGCAATGTGGCGCAATGCGGCACAGTGTGGCACAATGTGGCCCAATATGGCACAATGTGGCGCAATGTGGCGCAATGCGGCATAATCTGGTGCAAAGTGACGCAATCTGGTACAATATGGCGAAAATGTGGCGCAATGCCGCACAATGTGGTGAAATGTGGCGCAATATGGGACAACGTTACACAATGTGGCACAATGTGGCGCAATGTGGCGCATTTGCAATGTGTCACAATGTGGCGCAATGCGGCGTAATGTGGCACAATATGGAGCAATGTAGCGCAATGTGGCACAATGTGGCGCAATGTGGCACAAAGTGGCGCAATTAGCACAATGTGGCGCAATGTGGCACAATGTGGCACAATGTGGCACACTGTGGCACGCTGTGGCGCAATGTGGCACAATGTGGCGGTGAGTGGCTCAAGGGGCACAATGTAACGCAATGTGGCACAATGTGGCACACTGTGGCGCAATGTGGCACAATGTGGCGGTGAGTGGCTCAATGTGGCGCAATGTAGCACATTGTAGCACAATCTGGCACAATTCGGCACAATGTGGCGCAATGTGGCGCAATGTGGCAAAATGTGGCACAATGTGGCACTACGTGGCACAATGTGGCGCAATGTGGCACAATATGGCACAATGTGGCGCAATGTTGCTCAATGTGGCACAATGTGGCCCAATATGGCGCAATGTGGCGCAATGTGGTGCATTATGGCGCAATGGGAAATAATCTGGTGCAAAGTGACGCAATCTGGTAAAATGTGGCGAAATGCGGCGCAATGTCGCGCAATGTGGTGAAATGTGGCGCAATATGGGACAACGTTACACAATATGGCACAAGGTGGCGCAATGTGGCGCATTTGCAATGTGTCACAATGTGGCGCAATGCGGCGTAATGTGGCACAATGTGGAGCAATGTAGTACAATGTGGCACAATGTGGAGCAATGTAGTACAATGTGGCACAATGTGGCGCAATGTGGCACAATGTGGCGCAATTTAGCACAATGTGACGCGATGTGGAACAATGTGGCACAATGTGGCACAATGTGGCACAATAAGAAACAGTGTAGCGCAATTTGGCCCAATGTGCCACAATGTGGCGCAATGTTACGTAATGTAGAGCAATGTAGCAAAATGTGGCACAATATGGCACAATCTGGTAAAATTTGGCGCAATGTGGCGTAATGTGAGACAATGTAGCGCAATGTGGCGCAATATGGCATAATCTAGCCCAATGTGGCGATATGGGGTACAATGTGACACAGTCTGGCGCAGTATGGCGCATTGTGGCGCAATGTGTCATAATTTGCGTAGTGTGCCTCAATGTGGCACAATATGACGCAATGAGGCACAATTTGGCGCAATGTGGCGCAATGTGGTACAATGTGGCGCAATGTGTCGCATTGTGGGAGAACGTGGCAGAATGTGGCAGAATGTGTCGCAATGTGGCGCAATATGGTACAATGCGGCACAATGTGGCCCAATGTGGCACAATATGGCACAACGTGGCGCAATGTGGAACAATGTGGCGCAATGTGGAACAATGTTGCGCAATGTGGCACAATGTTGCAAAATGTTGTAAAATGTGGCGCAATGTTGTACATTGTGGCTCAACGTGGAACAATGTGCCGCAATGTTGCGCAATGTGGAGAAATGTGGCACACTGTGGCGCAATTTGGCGCAGTGTGGTACAATGTGTCACACTGTGGCGCAAGGTAACACAATGTGGCGCAAAGTGGCGCAATCTGGTACAATGTGGCACAATTTGAAACAATGTTGCACATTGTGGCACAATGTGGCACAATGTGGCGTAATATGGCGCAATGTGTTACAATTTGGCACAATGTGGCGCAACGTGGAACAATATGGGGCGGTGTGGCGCAATGTGGCACAATTTGGCACGATTTGGTGCAATCTGGTTTAATGTGGCACAATGTGGCGCAATGTGGCGCAATGAAGCGCAATTTGAGACAATGTGGCGCAATGTGACACAATTTGTCGCAATCTGGTGCAATGTGGCACAATCTGGCGCAATGTGGTGCAATGAGGCGCAATTTGACACAACCTGGCGCAATGTAGCACAATCTGGCACAATCTGGCACAACCGTGGGGTCAACTGCATCTAGGACTGCCCTTTAGAAACAAATGACACTTACAGTACATAACAGTAAAAACAGATGAGTAAGCAATAAATTTTTGTCAAGAAGGGTCAATACCGGAGTGATTACTAATCAGAAAAAACCAAATCAAGCAAAGAGAGTGCAAAAATTAAAATAAGTGGTTTTAACACTGGTTTGTGTGTTTTTTGTCTCATTTCTATTAATGAAAGCAGAGCATTAGGTTTTCATTCAGAGTACATTGTATTTGTTGAAATATTTTCTTGTCAACTTAATATTCAGTTTCACTGGACCAGAGAACTGGCCCCACTGACTGTTGTTTTCCTTGTTTCCTATCAGCCTCGTTTTCATGCAGCATTGTTTTAAGACATGTATTCTTATCTACCAAAGTAGAATGTGTAGTTTTTACAATTATTTTTGTACTCCAAAAACAAACAGAAGCAAAAGTAATGAATAAGCGATCAATTTTGCCTCCAAAACACTAATTTTTTTTAGCTAGAAGCTGTAGCCACAGGCATTTCACTCATTACCACATCAGTTTCCAGTAAGAGGGTCACGTGACACCGTTTCAAGTTTTAAAACAAAGATTATAACCCCTTTATCATTATAAGAAGGTTAAATGTTCAAAGTTACCTTAACGATCGCATTTAAAGGGTTTTATTTTCAAGCTCGTTTCCATCTACTCAGCACCATTAGAGAATTTTTGCTGGCTCCATATCAAAAAATATTGGTCTTAGGGATGGTAGTAATCTGGCAAAGTTTCATCCTTTTATCATCAAAGTGAACGATTCAGCATATTTTTGCACGATAACAGCTGGACTATAAGGGGACATTCATATGAAAACACAACAGCATTTTCGAGACTGCCCAGGTTGTTGGGACATTTTTGAGTTCCCAGAAAAACAAGTTCTGCTTAAATTGATAAACACTTGCATGTAGACCTACTTAAGGTCGGGAAGGACATGATACTCATAGGTGTGCTTTTATGTTGAAGAAATTTCTATTTGGGACTTTTATCTGTCATCGTCTTTTCCAAAAAGAGGGTCGTTTAATAGGGGTTTTATTTACAGTGTTTTACTGAGAACAATATCGATACCTTGATGGCCACTTAACTGGGCGCGGTCGCCTGACGGTTGGTCACTTAATAGAGGATCGGCTTTGACAAAATATTTGTTCCCTTCATCTTTTTTAATCTTCATGACCGAACTGTAATATTTCTGAACAATCTGACGATAGCTAATCATTTACAAGCTTAGCACAGAGTTGTCATTAACTGATAAAGACATACACACTTTCCCCACCATTTTTCATTACGTACACAATCCAATTTTCTGTTACAACGAAATAAGATAAGAAAACACTCAAAGCAGTTAAAGTCACCACGCGTTACAGACAGACAGACAGACAGACTTCCTGGTTCCCTTTCCAGCCGACCGACTGACTGCCAGATTGATTGACTGGTTGTTTGAGAGATTGACCGTCTAATTGATCGATTTGATTAATTCATCAATTGTCGATTGATCAATCAAGTGATCAATCGACAGATTAATTGATTGTTTGATTGACTGACTGATTGATAGATAGATTGGCTAACTAACTGATTGATTGACTGACTGATTGATTGATTGATTGATTGATTGTTTGATTGATTGATTGCTCGATCGATCGATCGATTAGTTGATCAATCATCGGTCCCCAACCCACAGAGTAGGCTTAAAGGACAGGAGGATATCGACAAAAGTAAGCGGACTGACAACTGATTTTAAATGCTCGTTTATTTACCCATCAAACAAATACTGACTGGTNTGTTTGAGAGATTGACCGTCTAATTGATCGATTTGCTTAATTCATCAATTGTCGATTGATCAATCAAGTGGTCAATCGACAGATTAATTGATTGTTTGATTGATTGACTGATTGATAGATTGATTGACTAACTAGCTGATTGATTGACTGACTGATTGATTGATTGATTGATTGATTGATTGTTTGATTGATTGATTGATCGATCGATCGATCGATCGATTGGTTGATCAGTCATCGGTCCCCAACCCACAGAGTAGGCTTAAAGGACAGGAGGATATCGACAAAAGTAAGCGGACTGACAACTGATTTTAAATGCTCGTTTATTTACCCATCAAACAAATACTGACTGGTTGACTCTAAATATTTCCCCATCCATATACCCAGCTTATATACTTCTCTCCCAAATAAAATCCCGCTATTTAGATCGTTTGGGTTCCATTCAGGCATCTCAGTGATCCATCATCTGCAAAAAGAGAACCATACGTTCTGTTTTAGAAGTGGGTTTATTCCGGTTTTAACCTGTTTAAAAGAATTTCCCAAAGAAACCCAACCTAATGTGAATAAGAAAGACAAAGGAATTGCGATATTCTAGGAATTGCTAACGTGAATTGGGGCTTCTTCTGAGAGCTCTCATGCATTAGTTTGTGTGACCATTCTCACTGCATACGGAGTTAGCGAGTGAATCCCTCAAATACCTCTATGCTTTTATGTCCCAGAGCGGTCATGATAATTTGCGGTCTCTTCGTTAAAACACCGGGGTTTTACCTCGATCGCCGTCATTTTGCTGGGATTCCAGTACAGGGATCTTTGGTCGCCCCACCCTCCTCTCCTGGTGCCGGTTGACGGTGCTACCCCCGTTTCTCGCTGCATACCTTAGCTTCCAAAGTTGTTGCGGACTCCTCCCATAACTTAGTTTACCGCGATGTGGTGATGGGTATGCAGTAATGATAAATTACAATTCAAAGGGGATTCACTATGGTCTACTTGACTGCAGCTTGTCGCTTATGAGGATGCTTACAGGGAGAGTGTTGCCCTTGTGATCGACTTTCTTACCAACTGTCCCTTATATGATAAATAAAAATAAATTTTGCCGAAATCACTGATAACTTGCCTCGGTCATTCATAGTAACGGTAAACAAACATGTCTCCGTTGATCCCCTTGCCGGATCCATAACCAGTCTTGCCGACAGTGCATTTTGAGGACTTGCCGTACTTTTTATACGTGTTCTCGGCGTTATCGCCTGCCCAGCATTTCTTGTCGTCAACACCAAATACAGTGTAGCCGAAGAGCTTAGCTTTTTCACTGCAGTGCTCAAAAATGTTTTCGTTCCCTTGTAACGTATCAACGCTGGTATCGAAGGGGTCGGGTAGAGCTAGCGATGCTGCTTTGTTTACGTAGCAGCCCTTATCTTGCCATATACCTGTAGAGAAAATTGTGCGATGAGTTAATAAAGCTTACAGTATGCTTTTTATCATAGAATATCTTGATCGGTCACAACTCCCCGTTTCCTGATAAATCTGAGAGAGTGGCAATCTGGGCTAGCTGAGAGTCAACAGATTTTCAACCACTTGTATCGAAACTCAAAATACAATTTGTTCAAGGGACTTAGAATCCGTATAGCTAGCTGCATGTAAGGAGGAGCTTTATAGTTTATATGAAACATTGACCAGACCTACCAAAAGATACTTATATCTAAGTACATTTCTAGCCCCTCACTTACAAAATTGAGCCTAAATTGTTTGTAATCTACCGCCCACAGCCCACAAGTGTGAGACTGGGAGATGACTGACATTGCAGGCTAAAAAATTCTACACTAGCCGGCCGGATAAACAACATCGCCAGCTAACACCTGTCAGCTGTGCGAAGTGACGTGGTGACGTGAACCGTGAAGCTTTTATGTGGCCACGCACTTGCCAGCGATGAATAAATCATAAAAATTTTTAAAAGACGCCAAGGCTAAAGCGCATGAAACGAAAGAAATAAAACCAGTCTCTTTGTTTGAATGTCCTAAGCCTCAGCGTCGTGTGTGCAAGAATTTTGATATTTCGGAAATTGAATGGCCCGCATATATAGCGCGTGTATCAGTGGCCCAGACAAACAAACTTGGTCTGCTTTGTACGTAGTTTGAAATAAGAGTATATTTTACAAGAATGTCGAAGCTGCAATTCGCAAAATTTAGGATTATTTTAGGAATAAACCCGGGCCTGAGATTTCGAAAGGAATATATGTATTGACAATTTGTAGATACAATACAATTTGTAGATACAATACAATTTTATGTTTTTAAAGCTTCATCTACACGAGCAATTCTTGTGACAATTTTTATTTGCTCGTGTAGATGGGGAAAATTGGCCAATTTTTATGTGACTAATATATTTGCTGGAAAGCTGGCGGGTAAGCTTTTATGTGACAAATAAAAGTTGTCACGTACGAAAAATTGCTCGTGAAGACAACTTGTCGCATAAAATGTGGCAAATATGGGAGAACATTGATGGTCCCCAATCTCCCAGTGGGCACTGCATGTCCACAGATCAAAATGGTGGCAAGGACGACTGACGCTTCCTCCAGTACAGGAATTTATTGGCCAGATCGGGTACTGACTTTGTTGCTAGTTGCCTTTAGGGAAAAGGAGAGTATCTGGAACACCAAAAGCGAGGAATACGAGAATCGAAACTTAAAAAAAAGGCACAATACGATAATGGCCGCACATTCAGCGTTCCTGCTGTTCGTAAGCTCCATATTTTTGGGGATGACTACGCAGCCTGGCCTTGTTTCGGCGTATAACTGCTGTCCAATGTCATTACTGGCGCACTGCCTGCCAGTTGGGATTTTCAAGCCTATTATGTTTAGTTGAAAATTTTGTTTCTTTCAGTTTTTAAAGTTGCATGCTTGTAAACTAACTAGGTGTAGCTAAGCAGATTGACCACTATACACAACATCATTGTCTAAGAGTACGATAAGTATACCCATAAAATTGCCTTGTATTATTACCTTCAACGTCTTTCATATAGACACGCATCGCATCGTGCTCTGATAGGCCGTAGTTTATGCCTTTCTTCGTTTTTTTGCACAATCCTGAAGTTCCATATCTGTCGTATGAGCTGTCTGCGTCTTCACCAATCCAACATCTCTTGTCATCCATACCGAACAACGTGATACCTTTCCCGTCAGCTTCTGACATGCATGCAGCAAACCGACTACTTATCGTCCTGGCGTTCACTTTCAGGATCTCGTTTAGAGCACGGACGCTGTTTTTGTAGCAACCCTCTGCTTTCCAATCAGCTTTAATTTTGACAGAAAAAAAACAAAAAAAACAAAAAAAAACCATAAGGAAAATTTAATAACCCCAATTTTTTTTCTTACAGGTTTCAACTATTTTCAACAAAGGGGCCGCATTTTGCCTTTGTACGCCATGAAGAA